CAACTAGCCCAGCCTGCCTTTTTCTTTTTACATTTTCACATTTTCATCATGGCAGACAAGAGCAGAGTTGAAATCCTCTGGGACACAGCTGGAAAAGATATGTGGGTCGGAGAAAGGAATTCAAAATTATTGTAATTTGTAAGTAATTTTTTATTGTAAGTAATTTGTGTGTGTGTGTGTGTGTGTGTGTGTTTCTTTGTTTGTTTCTTTACTTCACTCAAACAAACTCTCTCAATTTGAAAGCTGCACCGGGGCTTCAGGGGGCTTTTGGAAAGCCCCTCCCCCCCGAAGCCCCGCCGCTGGCAGACATAGGGCAGCTTTTGCCCGCATGCCTCACCAGCCATAAACCTCACCGCACGTCACTGCCTGTCCTAACTGAAAGCCTTATCAATTGCGGATCCGACCAGCGACAGGGAGCCGCAGCAGAGGGATGAAATAGCCACATGCGGCTCCAGAGCTGTGGGTTGCTGGCCCCTCGTCTAGTTAAAGAAGGAGTAGAGGTGACATTATAGCAATGTTCCAATATTTGAAAGCCTGCCACAAAGAAGAGGGGGAAGGTCAACCTATTTTCCAAAGCAACAGAAGGCAAGGCAAGAAAGAGTGGATGGAAACTAATCAAGGAGAGAAGCAACTTAGAACTGAGGAGAAATTTCCCAACAGTGAGAATAATTAACCAGTTACAACTTGCCCTCAGAAGTTGTAACTACTCCACCAATGGAGGTTTTTAAAAAGAGACTTGGCAGCCACTTCTCTGGCATGGCATAAGGTCTCCTGTTTGAGCAGGGGATTGGACTTGAAGACCTCCAAGGTCCCTTCCAATTCTTGCTACTCTGTTAAGTCTGTGTTGCATCCTGATTAGCACTTGAGTTTGACCCAAGGAAGGCTTGACTTCCAATTTCACTTCTTTATAGGATTTTGTGGGCCAAATTCACATGTAACGGCAGGCCAGATGGGTTGAGAAAAAATCCTTCCACCCCCCCCCCCATGTGTCAAAAAGAAATAAACCCATGTGCCTACAGCTATCAAAAGGTTGTCTGCCTCTTAGTGTAATGTGTAACCTATTATGTTTATCTCATTTCACGGCTGCGTCTGTTCTTGGTCATCATTTGTGCCAGCAACACCCTTCTAAAACTTGGCAAGTTCATATGCCTTAGACATTATCCTGAGCCAATAAAGGATTCTGCTCATTTGCTTGCAGGCTCCATGGAAGACCTTCAATTATAGGCAAGTGTTAGACTGAATTATTTCCCCTTCAGCGTGTTAGAGATGAAAATAGGATTACGTTGGCACCCTATTCGTCTTTTACTTAGGGCAAGTAAAAACCCTGTGTTTCCAAAAACCACTTTTTCTAAACTATTTGAAGAAGAATAAACAAATAACATATGGGACCACTAAGCCACCAACCCCTAAAACCTGAATCCATGAAACTAAAATCTGTAAGAAATCCAAATTATTAAAGTAATAATTTAAAAAAACTCAAAACCCAAGACCACCGGTGGTGGGATTCTAGCAATAGCAATAGCAGTTAGACTTATATACCGCTTCATAGGGCTTTCAGCCCTCTCTAAGCGGTTTACAGAGTCAGCATATTGCCCC